GAATTGACTAAAAGATACAGAGCACAAAGTAAAAAGAGTATTCAGTTCTATTTTTGAGCTTAAGGGAAGACTTCCTGGAAGAGGTGATGTATGAATACCTACAGGAGGATAAGTACCCTACATGTAGACAAGCAGGGGAAGTCCATTCCAAGAGATAAAAGTGTTAAGTTGAGCAACATGTAGGGTACATGTTAGCTAAGCATTGCTAAGGTATCAAATAAAAGTGGAGCATAGCAGGAGATGAGACCAGAGGAATGAAGAAGGCAACATTGGGAAAGACCTTGTATACCACCAATCTATCCTAAGAATAGGGTTCCCACACAGAACATAAAGACTCCTAACTCTGGGAAACGAACTAGGGGTGGTGGAGGGGGAGGAGGGCGGGGGGTGGGGGTGAATGGGTGACGGGCACTGAGGGGGACACTTGATGGGATGAGCACTGGGTGTTATTCTGTATGTTGGTAAATTGAACACCAATAAAAATTAATTTAAAAAAATAATAAAAATAAAAGGAAAAAAAAAGAATAGGGTTCCCAGGAGAGATTTTAAGCAGAGAATGGGTGTATTTAGACTTGCACCTTGGAAAGCTTAATTATTCTAGTTGCATTATAGAGGATGAATTTCAGGGGTAGGGAGTAAAGGGTGGGATTGGGAGAATGGAGTATTTAGGGCAAAGAAATTTTGCAATAATTCCTATAGAACACTGGAGGGCCTACAACTATTTATCAGGACTAAGAGAAGGAAGACATAGATTCAAACAATTTCTTGGGAGTAAAATTGCTAAACTTTGGAGATCCTGGCCTTCCCACGTAGTCTCATTCTTCCCCAGAGAGCAAGAGTCATGAAATCTGAAAAAAAAGCAGGGAGTCTATAATTGAGAGATCACAGCCACAAAAGGTCAGAAGTCATTTCCTCATACTGTTTTCCCCAGACTTGGGCACGCAGAGCATGAGATCACTGAGCTCACAGCCGCCTTCACCAGGTTTGATCAAGATGGAAATCACATCCTGGACAAAAAAGAGCAGGAACAAATGCAACAGGACCTGGAGGAAAAGAGGGTGAGCCCAGTTGGCTGATGCAGAGGCAGTGAAAGAAAACCACTCACTCTCCCTTCCCTGCCAACACACCCAGAACACAAATCCAAACTGAAAATCCTTCAATAGAGGGGCAGGAAAGAACTCTCTAGAATAGTGATTCTCAAACTGCTGCATATTAGAATACCCCAGTGGGGTAGGGGTGGAGAGTCAAATAATCCTCATACTCAGGTCTGTCTACACTCTAGACATAATCTCTGGGGGAGTGAGAGACTCAGACATCAGTACTTTTAAAAACTCCCCAAGTGATTCCAATGCATAGCCAATGTTGAAAACCACTGCTCTAAAACATAGTCTTGGGTGGGGGTGGGGGGAATCAATTATCCAAGAATCCCTGACAATTCTTTCTGAGGACTTACTTTCTCCTTGGGATTTTCAAACTTGGATCCTTAGCTATACTTGCTGTGCCTGCTTCATCCCTATCTAGTATAGACCCAAAAATCAAGGGCAGGAGGGAAAGTGGCAGGAATTCTGGTAGTGTTCTTCCTTTCCCAAACTGAGTTGGCTTCTAGTGAGGGTCTCATTAATCAAGGCTTCCAAGAGCTCATGTTTTGTTTCTGTGGAAGGTGATTCCCTCCCAGAGGTTGGTCCAGCTTTGTGTCCAGCACTACTACACTGATCCTATTGTCTCTAGAGATTCAGAGAGAAAGGGAATAGAATGAATTGGAGCCTAAGGGCCTGGTTCTGAGAGTCCATGAGAGCAGGTGATGAAATAGGAGCTGATGACTTCCCAGAGTCATCTTCTCCTCTCTGACTTCCTAATCAGGTGGCCCTCAACGCAGAGATTGAGAACCTAGGACAATCCATTGTGAGTAGCTCACCAGGCGAGTCGGGTCCAGAGGCTACCAGAGCAGATGGCTGGGTTTCAGGAGAAGAATTCTACACGTATGTGCAGCAGGGCTGAGTGTGTTTGTAATGTCCTATGTTGAGCTTCTTTCCATAACCTTCTAATTTTCTGTCCTAGCCCAGGGAGAACCTGTGTTCCCCCTCTCCTTTATTCTCCCTACAAGGCTGGGCCTTACCTTCCTTGCTCCCACCCAGACACAGACCATAATGTCTCCCCTGCCCCTATAGATGTTTAGCCCCATGATGCATATTTTTGCTCCCTCAGTCTCTCTCAAATCCTGCAGACTCACAAGGAGAGTTCTTCAGTTGGAGACTGTCTTGGAAGGAGTCATGTCCCAGGTAGATGCTGTGGGCTCAAAGCTAGAGATGCTGGAGAGGAAGGAGCAGCTAGCTTCCTCCCCAGGCATGGTGAGTCCTCTTCACTTGAGTCCTCTTGGTTTCCCACATTTGAACCCTACCATCTGTTCTACTCAGTGAACCCTACCATCTGTTCTACTCAGTGAGTGGAGGCAAAACATTTTTGAAATAGCCTGTTTTCAGGCTCCTGCAGAACATGTTCCTAGTAGTCACTATATCAGTGGAGGTAAGGAGTGGAGGGAAAATCTGAGGTTGATTGCTCTGGCCTGAGGGCTGCTGTGGCCTCCAGGAGATGGTCTGAGGTTGAAGAATCAGATCCAGATTTTCTAGATAAAAGGAAGTAGAGCGGGACCCAAATTCTCCCTTCAAATAACCTGTCCCTTTTTCTTCCAACAGGGGGATCAAGGCATTTGGGAGCATCTGCAGCCAACCTCACCTGTGACTCCAGACCCCTGGGGAGTCCAGGGTGGGCAGGAGAGTGGTGGGGGAGGGATTCTAAAGCATCAGATAGCTGGCTCCTCTCTCATTGCCTCCATAGAGAACTCCTCAGGACATGCCCTCCACTTCTAGGGCAGCAGATCCCTCAACTGCTACTGCTGAGTCCCACCTGGGTCCGGCCTTTTGAACCAATGTTTCTGTGTGTCGCTTGCATCATGCTTAGGCTTGTGACTCCGTGTTTCTGTGGTAGCCATGTAGCTCTGTGTAGCTCTTTGAAATAACATTTCACCCTGGGCCTCTTACTCCCTGTGCTCCTAGCTCTGCTGTGATGAAAAAAAAAATCATTAACAAACAGAATAAAGGAAGGCAGGGTTATGTTCCCTAAGCACCTGGCACTCAGGTAACCATGATTTGTGAAAAAAGTAGAAGCCAAGAGAGCAGCATTATCTAAATGTCTTCCAATTTGCCAGTACATCTTTATCCTTTGTGCATCTAGAGATCTGCTGCTAGCAGCCATGGAATTCTTGTCTTCCCCATAGAGTTCCCAGGTGGAAGAGAAGGGGAAGCCTTGGAGGAGATGAGACTTTCTCACACTGGAGATTACAGTGTTGCAGAGGAGTTGGGAGTGAGTGACCTCTCCATCCAGGGCAAAGACCATGAAGGCTCAGTTGAGAAGCCTGCTCCCGACATTTCACTAAACACTGGGAACTGCGAGAGCTGTAAACAGGCACGTAGATGGAACCTGAGAAGAATCAGACAAAGAAATGACTCCAGGATTCTGAGATCTTTGGAATAAAATGTGGTGGGCTCTGACCCTATTTTTGCAAGGGATAATATGGGTTTCTCTGGTGACTATCAATAAAAATCATTAGAAAAATCAGGACCTTTGCGTTTTGCTTCTGGGATGGTACGAGGAAGAAGGCTGGAGCTGTGAACCATTCTTGTACTTGGGCTGGGGTACTCATCCTTGCTGGAAGGTGCAGAGTGGGGGCAGTGACAATGTGAAGGAGCTGGGCTGCCTGAGAAGTTCTGAAATAAGAACTTCTGACTTTTAGGAGTGATTTGAAATGGTGAGCATTATGACTGTACCATTTAAAGAGTGGAGACAGTGACCTTGGGAGACCTGGTCCTCAGGATGAAGAGAGTAAGGCAGCCCTTAGGCTACCATGCGGGGTAGCTGGTGTGTGTGTGTGTGGTGTAGGGTGTGGGAGGTAAGAAGGTGAGATGAAAAATAACTAGGAATCTACACCAAAATTTTGGGTATATAGGTCTGCATCCCAAGACTCACTATATGTCCTTCTTCCCTTCCCCTGTGATCTTTACCTCTTTCTGATTTTGCACCTTGATCCCCAGTTGCTTTTTCTCATCCATTCCCTTCTCCCACCCTTTTCACCATCCCGTCATGTACACTGTATACACCTAGGAGACTTGTGAAACAGCTAAACCCAATCAAGATAACTAGAGTGTATCCTCAGCTGTAAAAAGTTACAAAGCGTTCTTCCAGAAAGGCTGTATCAGCTGAAGAGAAGTAGGTGCCAACCTGCAGTTTCAGAAAGGGGCTGGGGATCCCCGGGTGGCTCAGCGGTTTAGCGCCTGCCTCTGGCCCAGGGCGTGATGCGGGAGACCTGAGATGGAGTCGGCATCGGGCTCCCTGCATGGGGCCTGCTTCTCCCTCTGCCTGTGTCTCTGCCCCTCTTTCCCTCCCTCCCTCTCTCTTTCTCTCTCTGTGTCTCTCATGAATAATAAATAAAATCTTAAAAGAAAAAGGGGCAAATGAGTTGTTTAACCAAGACACTGAAGGACCAGTATTTCGGCTCAGGAATCAATGACTGAAGGTTTCCCAAGGGAAGGATGAGACTGCCTTCAAAGGCGTGGATTTCCTGAGCGGTCTTTGGCGACGAATACAGGCCTGGGTGGGGGCGTCTCTCGGGAGAGGGTAACTTGGCCCTGTGGCTTTGGTCAGCAGGCCACCTGAGCTCAACCAGCCCCAGACAGGTAGGTCATCGGGTTTTACTAGACTAGTGACAGGGATGAGCGCAATGTCAGTTCCAGACGTCGCGACTCTCGGCGACGGATGGACTCACTATAGCTTATTTTAGCCTCAATTTCAGCTTCACGCTTACTCTTTATTACTCCTCCCGAGCCGCACAACTCAGCGGGGAGACGGAGTATCTCGGGGCTGAGAGCCCGGCGCAGGGAGGGCGGCGGCGGGGCGGGGCGGGGCGGGGCACGGCACGGCACGCGCGGCGCGCAGGCGCGGGCAGCCCGACTACCGGAAGCAGCGCGGGGCCCGGCATGGCGGCGGCGGCGGCGGCGGCCGAGGGTGTCCCCTCAACCCAGAGGGAGGAGCCGGTTCGAGGTACGCAAAGTAGATGGGCATGAAGTGCCCAGCAGGAGGCCGGGGGCTCACCTGGCCGGAGCGAGCAGGTCGGAGGAGAGCACTTGAGCGGGCGACTGAGGTGATTTGGCCACGGGATCGGGCTTGAGCCAAGGGCGAGTGCAAGGGAACGGAGTTGGTGTGTCAGGTGGGGCAAGGACGAAGTGAGGGTCTTGAAATTATAGCACGTGCAGAATGGGGCCGACTTGATCGAATGAGGACACGGGAGGCGGCGTGGGGAGAGGATGCCGTGGCTGGATTAGGACCCGGTGCAGGGCCCGACCCTTACCGTTCTCCTTTGATTCAGACGATGCCGCCGTGGAGACAGCTGAGGAAGCAAAGGAGCCGGCTGAGGCTGACATCACTGAGCTCTGCCGGGACATGTTCTCCAAAATGGCAACTTACCTGACTGGAGAACTGACGGGTGAGGCGAGGTGTGGGCTGACTGGGGTGCTGCCCTGCGCCGCTCGCTCGAGCGGCACTTGGGCTCTGGGAGCTGTGCGCTGCCTTAGCGGCATCGGTCTGTGGCTCCCTCCGCAACACTCCGCGTGCCCTGAAAGATGCCTGTTGGAAGTTTGGGAAGGTCGTGAATGGGAAAGAGAAAGGTCCATTCCTTCCTTGGAGAAATTCACTAGCTAGTTTCAGAAATACATAAAAATACCTAATACAACTCTGCAAGCCTCAGTAGTGTACACTAAGTATGAGAAGAAAAAAAAAAGATTCATCAGTAAGTGCTTCCTCGGAGGAGGTGTATTTTGAGCAGGATTGTGAAGGGAATGATTGAGAAGGGGGAAAGAAGTGAGGTGGTACAAGCAAGCAGTTTGTTCCCTTAAAGCAGATGTATTTAGTATCGCAAAGAGAAACGAAATTGGGGAATAGAGAGTAACCTGCAGATTTAGGGATCTACTAGGTTGGTCTGAGGACTTGGTGACTCACACTTTGGGACGTGATTAATTTTGGGTTCCTTATGGATTTCCAGGTGGACACATGACCTGTGTGTAGAGACAGGTCCAAAAAGTGAAGTCTGGTTCTGTGTGGCCTCTCCTAAGCATTGTTTCACTTCCCCAGGAAATTGCTGTGAGCTAAATTTGGGAACCAAAATTAATGACAAAAGGCTTGATGCAAAATGGGAGAGCTTGTTAGGCTCTATTGGTCTGATCAGTTTTTTAGTTATTTCTGAGGAAGAGAAACCAAGTAACAAAATCTAGATTTTTGGCTTCTCTTTAAAAATTCCAGAGATTTGACAATACTACTTCCCCATTCTTGTGATGCTGTGATTAACTAGAGCTGAGCAGCTGTCTTCTCTAAGTAGACACAATGCAATATGTCCCACCACCCTTTTTTCCCCCCCTTTTACTGTCACCTGGTCAGTTGCCATTTACCACTCTTCTTATAACGTTTTTTTAGTAGTGGTAGAGAAACGATTTTCTGTACGAATATATCCGTCAAAACTGGTAAACAAAAGATAAGAGACTGTGTGTTCCAAGAAATGGGAGAGAACATATTTCTTTGTGGAAGTGAATAATCTTATGTGTTTAATACACAAACAGCTGGCTTGTTTCATTCATTTACATGATCTTACTGGTTCCTAGGTATTAGGGTGTGACCCTAGGTTTTTTTAGAGAGACTAATTGGCTAGTAGTGACGGTATGGATATGGAGGAGAGACCTTAGACACATAAGCAAGATTTCAGATAAAAAGTAATGATGATGACAGTGACAGGGTAATGATGGTAAAAGGAATGGAAAGGAAAGCATGAGTGCAAGAATATCACAGAAATGATAAGAGGGAGATCACATTGTCAGGTATATGGAGAGGTTCAGAAGAATAGTAACAGAGAATGCTGTGGATTTATTGCTTCGGAGACCAATGACCTTGGAGCACGTAATATCCTTAGATGGTGGGGGCAGAGGCCAGGTTGCAAGGATTTACATGAGTGAATGTTGAAGAAGAGGAAGCAGTGAGTATGAGCTACTCTTTCAAAAGGGTTAGCAGTGAAGCTCCTTTGTTTTACTAAGGAAATGATGTCGGTGTAGCAGAGAGAATGCTTTTGGGCTGGAGAGAAACCTGAATATATTTCTAGATAGGAAGCTGCCAGGATAGAGAATTTGGAAATGCCAGGGAAAAGAGGTGATTTAAGAGAGGCCCTTAAGAAGTGGAAGCAAGAGCATAAGAGAGGCTCTCTTGGCAAGAACAGGAGCACTCCTGTCACTTGGGAAGACAGAAAGGTACAGAGAAGTTTTGATGTGAGGCAGAAGGGTTGAGGCAGGTTATGTAAGTGGAATTTTCCACTTTTCAAGAAAACTGGAGAAGAAGCCATTTGCTTTGAGTAGGGATGGGCAAGGGAACTGAGGATAATGAGAAGTAGGCACATGGTTTGGAAAAGTCAGTGCATAAAATGCAATATAGAATCACACAGTAATAATTGATTTACTAAGAAGTGGTGGGGTCCTAGTTGATTTTATATATACTTATGATGCAATCCCTCAAATAACATGTTTTCATACCATAGGAAAACCAAGGCTATGTCACCTCTTTTTTCTTAAGACATGAATTTATTATTTCCCTTTTTAACCAAGAGTCTGAAGTCATTGGATCTTATTTGGTTTAAGTAGTTAGCTGATTAGTATCTGAGTTTCTGCTTAGACATTCAGAGTGCACAGTCTGGGTATAAATGTCATAAATCAGTAGTGGCCTGCTCCTTTGACATTCTTGAGGTCCTGCCTTGAACTACCATTTGGCCTATGATTCCAATTCTGGTGATCTGTGACAAATTGTAAAGACATCTTCTGCTTATTTTAAAGCCACCAGTGAAGACTATAAGCTCCTGGAAAATATGAATAAACTAACCAGCCTGAAGTATCTTGAAATGAAAGATATCGCTATAAACATTAGTAGAAACCTAAAGGACTTAAACCAGAAATGTAAGTGATAATTTTTATAATTAAACATGTTTGTATTTAATATTCTTTTGTGCTTGGGGTTGTAGAGAAGTGGAAGGGACATGGCACCTGTCCTGAGGGAGCTCATTCTCTAAAAGTAAATCACGAAGTTAAGGGAATTTCTGCCATATTGAGGATTAGCATGTTTTGGTATGGTTATTTCTGCTTCTGAATCTTGATTTGATCAGTTTATTCCTGGAAAGGGATAGGGGAAAAGAGGGGTGGTTAGATTCTAGTGAATTTATTTAACAATGAAATCCATAAAGGACTACTCTATAAGCAGAAAACCAGAGCATCTTTAAATGTTACACTGGTAGGATGTATTTTTCCATTGACTTATATTTGTGTTCCTTCTCTGCGGGCACTCTTTGTTGGTAGGGGATTACTCAAGAAACTGACTTGGGAATGGAAAGATTGCTGGAGGAGCAAAGAATCTAAAAGAGAGGATTATTCGTGGATGAGAGAGACTTGCTTTGTCCAGCTCACAGTTCTGCTTGGTCAGTTGGCTGCTGCCTGCTAGTGTTTGTCCTGCGATTGATCAGAATCCTGTCACCCGGCTAGTGTGTCTGGGGCACTAGCTGGCGGGACACTAGTACACTCCATGTTTTTCTGCGCTCCTTGTTGAGGCTTTATGAACGTGTGGTCTGTCTTTGTTTTCAAAGATGCTGGACTGCAGCCTTATCTGGATCAGATCAATGTAATTGAAGAGCAAGTAGCAGCTCTGGAGCAGGCAGCCTACAAGTTGGATGCATATTCAAAAAAACTGGGTAATCATTTTCATTTCTTTTTTAATTTAATAAGCGTACCGTGTCCTCCCCCCCCCCCCCCCGTATGATCTTACCTGCTAGGATAGTTAACATTTATGGTGTGCCTGTAATGATCTATTTTAATTAATCTTCACAGAAACCTAGTGAGAGTGATTTTTTTTTTCCTTAAAGATTTTATTTATTTATTTATTTATAAGACACAGAGAAAGGCAGAGACATAGGCAGAGGGAGAAGCAATCCCAGGAGCCTGGATCACCACCTGAGCTCAACCACTGAGCCACCCGGGTGCCCCGAGTAATTTTTTATTATTAGTAGTAATAAAAATACGATTTCCTGAGTACTTAATGATATATATTAGGCACCGTTCTTAGTGCTTTACATGTATTAAGCTTTTTCTCCTCCCATAATGTATAAGATGTGATTTTTATCCCCATTCTTTGGAGGAGTAAACTGGTCGAAGGGATTAACTTGCATAAGGTTACAAAACTAGCATGTGAAAGAGCTATATTCCAAACCAGGTCTGTTTGATTACAAAGCTCAACTCTTAAAACTGGTTCAGCAGACTGAAGCAGCTTTAGTAATGTGGATAAATGTCTTAAAAAATAGAGAAGTTATAGATTTTTCTTGAAAGATTGTTCTTCTTTTAGGGAGGAAACTGGTACCTGTATTGTTGATGGCTTGCTAACTGACTCTGGCTCTTACATCCATGATTAAAAGCAATGTAGTTGTCTTTATCCTAGGTAATAATTTACAGATTATTTTATTTTCATCATTGACAATTTCTTACTACTTCAGGAGAGAAGTCTGTAAAAGATTGAGATTTGAGATGAGTGTGATTAACATTTTCATTATCCACATTTACTAAATGGTGACTGTGAACCGTACTATATATATAGAAGGCATCATACCAGATGCTTTCAGGGTTTGTTCTGTTTTGTTTTCAAGGTTTTAAAGAAAAAGATAATCTATCACATTAAGAGGCTTATTTGATGGTCTTTTATTTTTTTTTTTTAATTTTTATTTATTTATTTATTTATGATAGTCCCACAGAGAGAGAGAGAGAGAGGCAGAGACATAGGCAGAGGGAGAAGCAGGCTCCATGCACCGGGAGCCCGATGTGGGATTCGATCCCGGGTCTCCAGGATCGCGCCCTGGGCCAAAGGCAGGCGCCAAACCGCTGTGCCACCCAGGGATCCCTTGATGGTCTTTTAAATCTCTGTGTCTTTCAAAATTGCTTTCCCATAGTGAGGTGTAGGAATAAGAAAATAAAAGGGGAAACATACATTTATACAACTGGAGAGTTCCAGTATGGCTCCCAGAGAGTGCCTAGGGCAGTGCCTGGAGAAGCAGTTTTCTGTGCTTAGTAAGGCTCCCCGTGACTCAAGTGCCAGTAGATCTGCTTAATCCTGGTGGAGCCGTCTGAGCAGGTGCTTGTAAATTAGGAACTTGTTCCTAATTCTGTGTGTTTGTGTGTGTGTGTGTACATGCTTGTCTCCTAATTTTAAGTTGTATACACACAATTTTAAGTCGATGATAGATATCCAAATATCTGTCCTTAGCTAATATGATAGTTAACATTTATGATATGCCTCCAATATGAACCCAGTTTGGACAGATTATGAGATTGAAGCCAATAGACTTTTTTTTTTTTTTAATATAATAGATATTGTTGAATGTGCCTGGAAATGCTGACTAAAAAGATCTTTTAAAGAGCTGGTTTTAAAAGATTTAACTTCCTCTCCCTATCTCCCTGGCAGAAGCCAAGTACAAGAAGCTGGAGAAGCGATGAAAAACTTAATCCTCTGGAACAAAGTCTTTTTTAACATGGAGGAATGTTTTATAAGACCTGACTCCTGAGGCTGATGAATTGTTAAAACTCCTCAAAAGGAAACTATGCTGGTCGTCCTAGAAACATCCCAACATTGGAGTAAACTGGAGGACTGTGATTACTCCTGAACTTCTTTCGAGGCAGTATCCCTCAGAAACTCACACCTATAACTCCTTACCTTTTACTTGAATGTTTCATCATCCACTCAGGACAGAGTCTCTCAGAGCTCAGGATAAACCTGGGCTTGCCAGTAGAATCAAATGAGAGGACTTATTTTCTCTCATAGTGGTTGATTACTACATTATTTTCTTAATGGCTGGTTTTTGAGTTTCTGTGTCAACAGTTGTTTTTTTTCTATTAATGATGCTAATGTATTGCTAATAAGATCCTAAATTAAAAAAAGAAAACAAACTTGTTCTTTATAGATTATCACCTTGTGAATGTCAGTAATTTGCTTTTCCATGACATTACAAATAACAGAAAATCTTAAAATAATTTCAGGTTGAGTCTTCTAGACTGAGCAGAAGCAGTGAAAAGGAGTGTTTTGATAGCTTGATGTATGTGATGGGCTCCTCCTATCTCTTCTCTGTGTGAGTCAGATGTCTGGAGATGGATGACATCTTGACATGTGCTCCCTTTTGGAACTGTGATACAGAGAAATACAGAGAAACAGTGTGTATGCTTGCGTATGTGTTAGATGATGAAGTAGGACTGCCACTTCTAAAATAAAGCATTTTCTAAAATATCTTCCTCCTTGTGCCTGCAGGGTCAAGGCAGGGGGCTCCTAGGGAGGTCCTTTCAGACTAAAGACATCAAGGGATGAGGGATACTGACTGGCCAGTCTAGTTTGGAAGACAGGCATCCTTATTCAGAATTGGGTGTTAGCAGCTAGGAAGGTGTCTGAGGTCATCAATTCTGTGTCCAAGAAGAGTTCATAGCTCTGTTTCTGTCCTTTCCCACTACGTCTGTTCCAGACCATTATTTGTCCTCTGCTCTGCTGCACTATTTCTGTGTCTCCTCACCATAATGATCCCTCCAATGCACCTTCCACAATGTTGTCAGAGCAATCTTTCCAAAATGTAAAGTGGCCATGTTACCCCACCTGCTTAGAATCCTTTGGTGACTTCTCACAGCCTCTTTGAAAAAGCCAGACTATTTTTGTTTTTTTTTTTTAACTCAGAAACCAAAATTTTAATGACATACTTCAGTTCACTTGTGTGTTTCTGAGGATGAACTAGTCTAGTATAATTCCCTTTGGTTCTTTATTAAACTTTCTTTTTTACGTAAGATTTAAAATGTTTGGCCAGATATATATTCTGAACATTGGAGTTGATACATGTAGTACAAGCTCCCCAGTTACATTTAGGATACAGGGTTCTCAGAAGATAAGAGCTGAAAATGCAGTTTTCTTCTGTGTGTGTGTGTGTATGTGTGGCAGAGGAGTGGAGTGTGTGTATGTGTTGCAGAGGAGTGGAGGGTGTAAGTTCTTACTTTTTTTTTTCCAGCTTTATTGAATCATAATTGACATAAAACATTGTGTAAGTTTAAGATGTATGATATGATGATTTGGAAATGTATATATTGTGAAATGACTCCCATAATCAGGTTAGCTGAAATAGCCATCACTCCACATAGTTACCTTGTGTGTGTGTGGTAAGAACATTTAAGATCTACTCTCTTAGCAACTTTCAGATACAGTAGATCTATGAACAGCATGTGTTTGAACTGTATGGGTCTGTTTATATGCAGATGTTTTTAGATAGGGTACTATATGTGAATTTTTTAATGATTTTCTTAATATTTTTTATTCTCTAGCTCACTTTATTGTAAGAATACAGTACATACATGCAAAATACATGTTAATTGTTTATGTTATTGGTAGGGCTTCCAGTCAATTGTGGGGGTGTCAAAGTCATATACAGATATTTGACTATGCAAGTGGTCACTGCCCCTAACCCCTGGGTTGTTCAAGGGTAAACTGTATATGATACAGTATTGTTAACTACAGTCACCATGCTGTACATTAGATCCCCAGAACTTACTCATAATTGGAAGTTATAACCCTAGACCAACATTTCCCTATTCCCCCTGCCTCCCTCCCAACTCCTGCTAACCACCAGTCTACTCTGTTTCTATGGGTGCAGTTTTTTTTTTTAATTTTTTAAATTTTTTTTAATTTATTTATGATAGTCACAGAGAGAGAGAGAGAGAGAGAGAGAGAGAGAGAGAGAGAGAGAGAGGGCAGAGACATAGGCAGAGGGAGAAGCAGGCTCCATGCACCGGGAGCCCGACGTGGGACTCGATCCCGGGTCTCCAGGATCGCGCCCTGGGCCAAAGGCAGGCGCCAAACCGCTGCGCCACCCAGGGATCCCATATGGGTGCAGTTTTAGATTTCACGTGAGATCATACAGTAATTTGTCTTTTTCTGACTTACTGCACTTCACATCATGCCCTTGAGATTCATCCATGTTATTGCAAATAGCAGGATTTCCTTCTTTCTTCATTGTAAATATATATACTTTGTTTTCTTCATTTATCCGTCAGTAGACACTTAGGTTGTTTTCGCGTATTAGCTATCATGAATAATGCTGCTGTGAATGTAGGGGTACAGATATCTCGTGATTTCATTTCCTTTGGATATATACCCAGAAATGAGATTGCTAGATAATATGATAGTTCTAATTTCTTGAAGAAGCTTCATGCTGTTTTCCTTAGTGGCTGTACTAATTTGCATTCTCCCCAACAGTACATAAGGGTTCCTTTTCTCTGCAGCCTCATCAATATTATCTCTTTGGTAATAGCCATTCTAACTGTTGTGAGGTATGAGGTACTGATAAGCCACAATGAGATATCAGCCAGTTAGAATGCATAGCACCTTTTCATGGACGTATTGGCCATTGATAGTCTTTGGAAAAATGCCTACTTGTGGCCTTTGCCTATTTTTAAAATCAGAATATTTGCTTTTTTTTTTTTTTGCTATTAATTTCCTTATGTTTTTTGGGTATTAACCCCTTATCCGATAGTTTGCAAATATTTTGTCATTCCGTAGGTTGCATTTTCATTTTGCTGATTGTTCCTTTTGCTGTGCAGAAGCTTTTTTGTTTGATGTAGTCCCACTTTTTAATGCTTGTTTTTGTTTCTTGTGCTTTTGGTGTTATACCCAAAAAATTATTGCCAAGACCAATGTCAAAATGCTTCCTGTTTCTTTTAGGAGTTTTACAGTCTCAGGTCTTATATTTAAAACTTTAACCCATTTTGAATTCATGCTTATGAGTGGTGTAAGATAGGGGTCCAGTTTCATTCTTTTACATGTGAATATCCAGTTTCCCAATACCATTTATTGAAGAGACTATCCTTTCCCCATTAAGTATTCTTGGCTCCTTTGTCAAATATTAGCTGACTGTATATGCTAAGTTCATTTCTGTGCTCTTGATTCTGCTCCATTGGTCTATGTAACTGTTTTTAGGTCAGTACTATACTGTTTTGATTACTATCACTTTGTAACATAGTTTAAAATCAGGAAGTGTGATACTTCAAGCTTTGTTCTACTTTCTCAAGACTGCTTTGGCTATTCAGGGTCTTTTGTGGTTCTGTACAAATTTTAGGGTTTGTTTTTTTTTTTTCTATTTCCGTGAAAAATGCCGTTGGATTTTGATGGGGATTCCATTGATTCTATATATGGCTTTGGGTAGTATGGACATTTTAACTATTAATTCTTCTCATCCACAAGCACAAAATATCTTTCCACTTATTTGTATCTTCTTCAATTTCTTTCATCAGTATCTTAGGTTTTCAGTATACAGATCTTTCACCTTTTTGGTTAAATGTGTTCCTAAGTATCTTACTGTTTTTGATCCTATTACAAATGAAGTTGTTTTCTTTATTTCTTTTTCAGATAGTTTGTTATTAGTGTATACAAACACAACTGATTTTTGTATGTTGATTTTGTATCCTGCAACTTTACTGAATTCATTGATTAGTTCTTTTTTTTTTTTTGTTAGAGTATTTAGGATTGTTTATATATAAGATGATGTTATCTGCAAACAGAGACAGTTTTACTTCTTCCTTTCCAATTTGGATGCCTTTTATTTCTTTTTTCTGCCTAATTGTTCTGGCTAGAACTTCTGGTACTATGTTGAATAGAAGTGGTAAGAGTGGGCACCGTTGTCTTGTTCCTGATCTTAGAGGAAAAGCCTTCACCCTTTCACTATTGAGTATGTTGTTAGCTGTGGGCTTGTCATATTATTGCCTTTTTATTTTGAGGTACATGCCTTCTGTGCATAATTTTGCTGGGAGTTTGTTTTTAAATCCGGAGAGGATGTTGAATTTTGTCAACTGCTTCTTCTACATCTTTTGAGATGATCATATGATTTTTATTTTTCATTCTATAAATGAGGTTTACGGAATTTATTGATTTCAATATGTTGAACCATCCTTATGTCCCAGGGACAAGTCCCACTTGGTCACGGTGTATGATCCCTTTAAGATGCTGTGGAATTCATTTTGCCAGTATTTTGTTGAGAATTATGTATCTATATTCATCAGGGATATTGGCGTGTAGTTTTCTTATAGTATCCTTATCTGGCTGACTCTTTAATTTTTTGGAAGAGTTTGAGAAAGACTGGCATTAATTCTTTAAATGTTTGGTAGAATTCATGAAATAATCTGGTCCTGGATTTTCTTTGTTGGGAGTTTTTTATTACTGATTCAGACTCCTTACTCATTGGTCTGTCCAGATTTTCTATTTCTTCTTGTTTCAGTCTTATAAGTTTTACATTTGTAGAAATCTATCCATTTCTTGGTTGTCCAATTTATTGGTATATAATTGTTCACAGTGGTCTGTTGTAATCTTTATATTTCTGTGGTATCAGTTGAAATGTCTCCTTTTTCACTGATAATTTTATTTACTTGAATCCCTTTTTCTTGATTAGTTTATTTTTATTTATTTTTTTAAAAGATTTTATTTATTTATTCATGAAAGACACAGAGAGAGGCAGAGACATAGGCAGAGGGAGAAAGAAGCAGGCTCTCTACAGGAGCCTGACATGGAACCCGATCCCAGGACCCCGGGATCATAACCTGAGCCAAAGGCAGACGCTCAACCACTGAGCCACCCAGGTGCCCCCTTTTGATTAGTTTAGCTAAGTTTGTCAATTTTGTTTATCTTTTTCAAAAACTAACTCTTAGTTTCATTGAAATTTTCTATTGTTTTACTATTCTCTGTATCATTTATTTCTGCTGTAATCTTTGTCATTTCCTAATTCCTGCTTACTTTGGGCTCAGTTTATTTTCCTTTTTCTAGTTCTTTGATGTGTAATGTTAACTTGTTTATCAGAGACACTTCTTTTTTCTTAATATAGATATTAACAGTTATCAACTTTCCTCTTAGAACTTTTTGTTGCAGTCCATAAGTTTTGGTCTGTTGTGTT